TGGTTGTAGTTAACAATAATTCAGGTAGTGGAGTAATTTTAAAGTTAAAAATACTTGTTTTGTCGGAAAGAATAAACGGAGATATAAAAGGCGAGACGTAGTTTTTTATGTTTTTAATAGCATTTTAATTAAAACCCAATTACTGCACACGAGATTCCCTTAGGGTTGGTTAAACGGGTTAAAAATTGAGTTACATTTCAAAAATCTTCAAATAAACTTGGTTATCGACTACAACCCGACCGCAAAATATTAACCCCGAGAAACTCAGCTTGCTGCTAGTAGCTTCGATGTAGTTTCAAATATGTTTTTTCGATTTTACTCACCCTTATGGACATTTCATTTCTTAACGAGAATACAAACATGAAATAATTTTTAATTTCTGAATGACACCAATACCAAGTCTGTAAGTGGTGTAGTTCCGGAACCTTTGTCAGACAACAAAAGCGCAAAAGTGCACTTTTGATTCTTTGAAGGTGCTCTGAGAATAAAGACGCCAAAAAACCAACGAATTCATGATGCTACAGTCGCCCGATTTGTTTTTCCAACTGTTAGCCAAACCAATATTCATTGAGGATATACGTATGAAAACTGCGATCATTAGAAAAAGAATTTCGTTTTGTCTATTTATGTGGGAAATTCAAAAAATTAATCCATACCTAAATGCTCCCGATACAAAGTTAAAGTAGTTTATGTAGGTGGAGTACTATGGAAACACGTTTAATCAGAAATTTTTTAATGTTGCGTATCGTATTTTGCACTCGATATGAGGTTACCTACGGGTTTCATACAGGAAACTATAATATTGAACATCATTTCGATGGTGGGCGTATAAGTGATTAAATGAGAAACCGAGTAAATGAGAAATATAGATTACATTAACATTCACTTGCGTAGTTAATTTTTAAGCTAAAACCAAATTTTGTCAGATAGTAGAAAGTGTTTTTTAGATTATAAATTTTTATTACTAAAATAATGAAAAATACACAATCTGAACTAAACTTATATCTTTTGACGCATTACAAAAACTGAAAAACAAAACATATATCATTTTACTTTAACAAATTTTCATATTTAAACTTTTAACACTTATTCCTCGTCGCTTTCGTTTTCAACTCGTATCATCTTGTTTAGAAGGCAAATTTTTATAAAAATCGTGAAATACCTTGTCAATGTAGGGAAGCTACTCTAATAAATGTTCCTTTCTTTCTACGTGGGGGGAGGGGGGGGGCTATAGGTACGCCCAAATTTTTGAATTTTGAATAATTCAATAACGATCAACCAACAAACGTGAAAATGTAACTAACAAACATTAACAAGCGACCAACAAACGATAGCAAAAAAAATATTTTGAAAATTCCAAAAGTGGGGTGCTAACTAGATGCCTAAATTTTTGAATTTTTTAGAAATAAATAACGATCAACCAACAAACGTGAAAATGTAACTAACAAACACCAACAAGCGACCAGCAAACGATTGAAATAGAAATATTTTGAAAATTTAAAAAGTGGGGGGCTAGCTGAACGCCCAAAGTTTTGAATGTTGAATAATTAAATATCCATCAAGCAACAAACGTCAAAATGTAACTAACAAACACCAACAAACGACCAACAAACGATTGTAAGGACCATATTTTCAAAATTCAAAAAAGTGGTGGCTAACTAGACGCTCAAAGTTTTCAATTTTGAATAAAAAAATAACGATCAACCAACAAACTTGAAAATATGACTAACAAACACCAACAAACGACCAACAAACGATTGCAATAAAAATATGGTGAAAATTCAGACAGTGGGGCCTAACTATACGCCCAAATTTTGAGATTTGAATAATTAAATACCGGTCAATCAAAAAACGTCAAAACGTAACTAACAAACACCAACAAACGATTGTTATAAAAATAATCCGAAAATTCCAAAAGTGAGGGGCTAACTTGACACCGGTGTACTTAGTTCTTAGGCCCGCCATTATAATTTATTTATTTCATTATTTATTTATGTAATAAATTAAAGCAGAATAAGCAAAATCGAAATGAAGTTTACTTTTCGTTTGAAAAACTACACATTTCATTTTACACAATTTTCTACATATGCCCCTTTACACTGGCACCATCCATTTATTTACCACTCAAATATCTTGATATGTACCTGCAAACTATCATGTAAGTCTAAACATGCGTAAACACGGGTATGACAAATTTTCAGATATTCGTGTATATACCGACAGCTTTAAGTGCAGTAACCTCATATAGGCGTCTGTTCTATTGTGATCAGTAACAATTGCAAATGGGATTTCGCGAACTGCTGATTGGAAAAAAATCCTTTGTGGGAAGCTTATGGTAGGTATATTTCTAATACTTCTTACGATGGAAACGGATTACTGGCTTATCGAACTGCAAATTTTCATTTCATTATTTCAAGGATACTGCTTCCAATTTTTCATTAAATCCATCCATACTGATTCCCCTAAATTCGCTTTTATTTCCCGATTCACTTTCAATTTCTAGCATATGGGTAAATGTGGTTATTCTTCTTGAAAGCGATTATTCAAATTAATGAAATACAATAAAACCCTACTCACGAACAACCCAAAACGCTTTGTCGTAACTTTATTTTACCCGCAATTTCAGTTGCCAAGCTTGTTACTGAAGCGTAATTAAAATGATAAAATCTAAACGTTACTATTCACGTGCATTAAATTCTTATTATCGCTGATAATTTCAGTGCTTAATTCTCTTCTTGACGGCCCCTTTAAAATGTTTGCTGCATTAGTGTCTGCAAGAAAAGATTATAACTTGCTTCTGGATTAGATAGGATAATTAATAGCCGTTTTTAATTACCGATTGTTTTTAAAAGTCTAATTACACGAATAAGGTCATACGCTTCCCAAGTAGTATAAAACGTGTGGAAAACATACACCTTTATTGGAATACGTTTCCCCGTTTAATTAGGAGGGTATTGAAAACATTGAAGTTCTCGAAACAATAGGTGTAACGGGGAACAATGGAAATTTCTATGCTGGAAGTTAGATGAGGCATAGGCATAAGAGAAAATCTTTTGCACTAATAAAAAGTAGGTAATTCAAAATGCGTAGATTTTATACATAATAGCATGCCGTTAGGTATTCTTTACGATACAGCGTCTAAAAGTACATTTTCAAATAAATATGCGAAAGAGGGTGCTGACTAATGAAACTGTGCGGATTTGGATTATTGGGCTTGAAACGCGGGCATTCATTAAATTGGGTTTACATATTTTTTACAGTCGTAATCGACCCATAGGTAATGTTATACTCATCAGAGTTGATCCAATTATTGAAACAAAGGCACCCAAATGGTATAGTTTTTCCTTTTTAGGTAATTAAATCTACGCTACAAATACCAATTATTATCTAATATAGCTTTTTCAGAAAAATCTAGCAAATAGTTTGTACCGGCATTCTAATCGGAAAACCTAAATTAAATCCATGGTACCGGGGGCATTTCGAAAAAAATACTCAAGTGCCACCAGCGCCCGGACTAAATGTCCTGAAGGGCCACGGAGCCTGGAAATCAACAACTGTAGATTCAGGATACGTCGAAAATTTAACTTACTTGAAGTTATTGTTATCAAATACGCGAAGTGTATATTTTAATCCCAAGGGATTAAATGAAAATTGAATCGCTTGGGATCAAATGAACAACTTCTGTCCCCAAAAATGGAGATAGCGAAATAAATAAATAAATAAATAAATAAATAAACCGAAACGAAATTAGAGAATCATAGTATTATGGGCATATGTCAACGCAAAAAACGTTGACGTCAGAAATTTTGATTGTTTAGGTCAAATTCTTAATCAAGAAATGGAATGCACAAAAAAATTGATTTAAGATCATTCACTTTACCGGCCAATGAACAATGCGTCCAGTAATCGGAAGACATAGAGTGGAAGGACAAAAACCCTCGTCAACGAAACACTGGAATATTTACAGAAAAGTCGAGTGTCAATATAATGAACGAAGGGAAAATTTGAATTATTTAACGGAAAATTGGAAAACCTGCGATCTTGCAAAAGTGATTGGTCGTTTACCTTTAAGTTATATTTGTAAAAGTGGAAGATTCTCTACTTCTCATTCTAATATTCGTAGCGAGGCCGACCTAAGGGTTTTATGGGTCAGCCGCAACAAATCCAATAAAAATTACTAGACTGTCATTGTGAAAATCTATAACCGTGTGAGCTTATTCGAATATCGACTGCGGATGCAGCGTTTAATTAAATGCATCAGGAATTAATATATAGGTAGTTTATTACCTATTCACAGTACTACCGGCAATCTAGGAAACATATGAAATTTCGAGTCTGTTTAGGAAATATACCTACATAATGGCTGGCGCTGACCATTGTGATAAATTTGGGGCGCATTTTATTTTAAACCGTAAGGGAAGGGAGACTACTTCTGCCATCGGGAGGGGCTGTTTTTTCTTCCCTCAATTATACCCATTGTATAGAATACCTGATTCATACAGTTTGTCGGTAACATTTTCCTTGCGTTCGCATTTACATATTACATATTATATAGGTACGATTTTCTGTTATTGTGTTAATTTCGTATAGGCATTGAATATCCAGAGGAGTTGGATATTCAATGGAATAGGTAAGCGAAATGCATTTCTTGTAATATTATACTCTTATTGCACCAAAATGCGATTTGAAATAAAGCAGCATTCTATGCGAGCTTAAAACTACTGTCTAGGCATTGAATCGGTAGCGAGGTTCTTCCCTTTCAGAATCGGATTTAGGCATTCCAATAATAAGAATTGCAAATTGTTTGGCGATATTGGAATTTTATAATGCAAATATTTCAAAACTGTTAAAACAACAAATCCCGCAGAAATACGTATGCACGATCCAATTCGAGGGTATAGAAATATCGAATTGAAATCCGCTCGCAAATTGTGTTTGTAAAACATCCTCATGCTATATATAGTTAAAGTAAATGAAAATTAAATTTTTTTCTGTTGCAGGTGACATTGTCGATATCGATCCTTATCAGTCTACACGTCTTCTTCCTGCTAGTTGTAGAAATTATACCACCAACATCCTTAGTCGTTCCGTTACTTGGGAAATATTTAATATTTGCCATGATTTTAGTATCGATAAGGTAAGTGCAATCGTGATCCTCCGCATATCTCTGAATCGCTACTTCAACTTTTAATTGAAGAGCTTATAGGATTAGAGCGCAGTTCGCAGCGATTTATAAATATGGTTCATAATTTGGAAAATTTATTTTTACTAATTAAACGGAGTTATTTACTCTTTTAGTACGTAGGTAGCAATCAGTGACAGGGCTACAGTATACAACGATGGGTGCCGCTCACCCTGAAAAGTGTCTCAATCCACAGATTTTTGCAATATTAATATATAGCTGTGGCGGGTGTACCAGATAACTAAACTATTATTGATCCCAGAAGTTCGTAGACTTTCATTTGAAGCTTAATAAAAACTAACTGTGTCCCTTTTGTCGGTGAAGATTAGACCGACATAAAATGGAACACCCCATCTACTCATATCCAACTTCAATGTGTATGGAACGCCGTTGTATCTTTTAATAACTGAACACCCGGACTAAAAAAATTAACTATAATTGACGCAATGGTACTAAAATTTATAGAAATTTACTTTGTGTTAACAACAATTGCCTAGTTGAAATTAATAATTGCATATCTTCCAATAACAACTCGCAATAATTTCCTCTTTTACAATTTCAAATAACGGTTTTTGTGCGAAATTTCAAAAACCGGTATTGAAATGGCATATTTAACAATTTCAAATCGGCAGTCTTATTCATATATCACGATTTACAAATAACGTTGAAAATTTTAATGTTCAAAAATTATCGATTTGATATTATTAAATAATCTTTAATATCACCTTCACGCTTTGTAATAATTTTCAATTTCAAGTTGAAATAAAAAATTCAATTCTCTATTTCAAACTCGTAACTTTGGAACGCACAATTTAATTTTTAATATCAACTCTGTGATATTGGTAATTCGATTTACTTATGTCATGACATATAAAAATTGTGGCGCCATCTATCGAGTGATGTCAAAAGTGAGGAGCGAACCTCAACCCAACTAATCACGTTTGATGTAATTACCGCGAAAATCTACTTTCAAGTGCTTATTTTATTACCCATATCGTTCATAAATACATTGTACGAATAATATTGTCAAAAAAATGTACAATTACCTACGCGAAATGGAGATTTTAAATTCTGTTCCGATTATTAAACTTACTGTCGCTAGAGGGCAGGTCAATTTGCTATATGTGATTTAAAAATATCGCCTTGATATTTTTAATTCATTTACCAATATGTGCGACTTGATATTTTTAATTCTATTGCACAAATTACTAATTTCTACTTGATATTTTTAATTACTTTGCATTGTACACGATATGAAACCTAGAAATATAATTCGTGAATTGTATATTTCAATAGGATATTAAAATTTTTTTAACTATAACAACCTTTGTGTTAATTACAATTGTCAATATGGAAACTACTTCTTCCATTGTCGCAAAAATTTCAATCCCGTCTAACGTTTTATTTGAAACTGCATACCTATTAATTGATTTTAATGAAAATTTCAGGTACGTTTTAAAATGTTCAGAATGCAAAATTATAACTTCTGTTACTGAAAAATCGGTTGATGAGTTTTAAAAACATATTTTCGTTATTAATATAATTATAATAATTTTTATTGCATTTAGTAGTTTTCTTAACAAAAAAACTTATTGCAGAGTTTAGCGTTAAACTAACATACCTACACTACCAAACACTAATCAAGCTTACAAAGGAAAATAATAATAATAGTAACTACCTATT